AGGTCAGGTGCCAAGGTGCCCAAAGATGCTGCCACCACACACTGGGACCGGATAAACCTTCCTTGAAAACCTGGAGGCAGGTGTAGGACACACGAACAGAAGTGTCCTGCACATGGTGGGTGGGAGCGCAGTCTCAAGGGAGCTGGTCACCCTGAGTGTTTACAATACAAATCGGGTAGTGTGGGGGTCCAGAAACATCTAGGGGTAGAAATCCCTGATAAAAGCAGTCCCAGATTTAATTCCCACTGTGTCTGAAGGACTTTCAAAAAATATATCTCTCTTTATTGAGATATAACACACATAAAAAAGAAAGACCATAAAATTCACCCATTTAAAATGTACAGTTCAGTGGTTTTTAATATATTCACAGAGTTGCGCAACCCTCACCACAATCTAAGTTTAGAACATTTTCATCATCCCCAAAAGAAACCCTGTACCCATTAGCAGTCACTCCTCAGCCCCTGCCTAGCTCTAGCTAATCACTAACCTACTTTCTGTCTCTAGAGAGCTGAAGGAATGACACTGCGAAGGTTACAAATCTAGTCAACAAACATCTACTTTTTCTATTTTATGCACATGGAGAGAGTGTGAAGAGGAGGAATAGTGACTTAGGCTTTGCCCCCAAGTTGTTTACAGTTGGCAGTGATAAGGCCTAGTAGTTAACAGACCCAGCTGTCACTCACCAGTATGTCACTTGAGGCATGTTACATACTCTCTTCAGTGTCTTCATCTCTAAAATGGGATAACAATCATACTTATTTCATAATGTTTCTGTCAGGATTAAATGATAAAATGAGAAGAATCTAGTACAGAGCCTGGCCCATGGTAAGGGATCATAAATGTTTGTCAGTATGGGTCTTATACTACAAGGCAAATGCTGTGGGGCCTTGAGATCTGGTAAGGCTTTGGGAGGAGTCTGCGTGTGTGTGTGTGTGCGCGTGTGTGTGCGTGCGTGTGTGTGTGTGTGTAGGGGCTTAGACAACACAAGCAAAGTTGGGTGGGTACATTCCAGGTAGAAAGAGCAGCATAAACAGAGGATGCCTAGAACACACATGGCGAAAGGCAAGGAGCAGTGGGTGATGTGCTTGGGAGAGGCTAGCCAGGGACACAAAGGCCCGAATGGGGTGAGTTTTGTGGATGGCAGAAAGCTGGCCTAAGAGAATTGTGATCTAGGCAGTGTGGGCAGTGATGTGCCTTAGGGAGCTCAACCGTAGCTGGTGCCAGGTGGAGGATGTGTGAAATCCCAAGTGGAGGACAGATTGGGAGAAGGAAAGGCTAGAGATGGAAGACCTGTTGGGAGGCTCCTCTAGCCGCCCAGGGCAGGTTGCCATTCTCAGACTTTAGTGTCAGAATCACTGGGGAGCTTGTCAAACATGCAGATTCCTGGGTCTACCCCAAAGGTTGTGACTCAGCAGGTCTATGGGGACCCAGAAATCTGTAATCTTAACCAGCTCCCCAGAGGGAGGTGGCCCACAGACCACATCCTTCGAGAATTACTAGATCAGAAAGGTTGTAGAAATCAAATCCACACAATCAGGCAACTGATGGTGTAGGGGAGGGGGTTCAGAGGGGCTCCTGAGCCTGGAGCTGGATAACTAAGAACGGTGAGACTGCCAGGCAGATGGGGGTGGTCAGAGCTGAGCAGACTGGGAGAAGAAAGCAGGTGAGCACAGCCAGGGGGAGGCAGGCATCTGGGATCCAGGAGAGCGAGCAAGTCAACAGCTTGTCCATGGGTCACCACCTGACTGGGCAGGATGACAGAAATGGCCTTTAGTGCCACCTGAGCTGCATCCAGGCCTTGAAGGAGGAAGGATTTTGACCTGGGGAGATAGGCATAGGCATTCCAGATAGAGGAGACAGTCTGAGACAAGATGTGTTATCAGATGAGTTTTCCAGGCCAGTACGGGAACTGGACAGGAAGGCTGTGATGCCTCTGGATGGCCTCAATTGCCACACTAAGGAGTTTGGAGTTTATTTAGGCCAAAAGAGAGAGAGTTATGGAAGGTTTGAGGGATTCATCACCCTCGCTGTCTGGGGCACTACTGAAGAGGGTATGCAAGGTTTGGGGTGGAGTAAGGGTAATGACTGTGGGTCTCTTATCACTAGGCCCAGTGAGGCACAGAGCCCCCATTTTATTTTTGATTGATTCATGTTGGCAAAGAACGGGAGGCTGAGGGACGCTTGGGAAGAGGCAGGGGAGGTAGGCCCATCCCCATTTTATGATCTCAGTGGAAAAGGCTGCTGTGAGTAGATTTTCCTGCCAGGAGAGCCACAGAGATGGGCCCCATGAGTCACTGCTCAGTCCTGCAAGCTCAGCCCATAGAGCCTGCTGTGGTCAGCGGCTCAGGCTGGCTCCAGGCCCAGCCCCCAGAGTTCCCCACTAGGCCTGAGTCTGTCCCCATTTCTATCTGTATCTTTGCCATCCTGGGGCTGTGTATCCTGCAGCTCTCTGCCTTTTCTGTGTCCCTTTCAGACTGAGCCTCTGAATCTGTCTCCATTTGTGACTCTGGTTTACATGTGGCTCAAGGATGGGGAGCCTCAGGAGGGCAGGGGTAGTGTGACCGGTCTCAGGCACCCCTAAGCATTTATTCTGTGCCAGGCCCTATGCTGGGTGCTGGAAGTACGTAAGTGGATAACATACAGTCTCTGTTTTCAAGAAGCTTACAATGCACATTCTACGTGGAGTGAATAAACTAAGGCCTGGCCCTGCCCCTGAATCTGTCTGCCTGCCTGTGTCCAGGGGTGCTGGGGTCAGCTATGGTCTGTGGCTTGAGGCCTCTCATTTGCCGCTGGCATTGGAGGGGTATGTGTGCCTGCCAGCAGGTCCCCCCCAGCTCTTAGGGCTCTGAGGAGGCCTGGCTGGTGGATGGGGGTGGGCAGACAGTGGGCAGCAGGAGGGGAGGGAGGGGGCGGGAGGCAGTGACTCAGTGAGGCGGCCCTGGGACAACTGGGGACAGAGCCAAGGTTGGTCCTGATGCTCATTGAAGCTAGAGGAGGGTAGGAAGAGAGGGCTGGCTGGGGCTTGGGGATGGAGCAGGACAACTCCAAAACTCCGCTCTCGCAGCCAGATCAGCTCACAAAGAAGGCTCCTTGGTAGCTGGTCTGAGAGTCTGGACTCTGGGTGCTGACGTGGCAGCTGGGATTGGGGGGGGATTGCTGTTGTTCCCACCGTGCCTGCTTCTGATGCTCAGGTTCCCTCCCCTGGCAGCCTCCCTGGGCTCACGAAGGAGGTGCCTGCCTTAGAGCCAAGGAAGCCATTATACCCACTGCCCCCTCCCCACCAGGAACCAAGGGCCTGAGCACGCTGTGGGGCACAGTGCCTTCTGGCCACATAGCCCACCTTCTTACAATCTTCCTATGAATTTTGGGGAGTGTCAGGACAGGCCCACATGCCCCAAAGGGATCTCACACTTCAGAGCTGGGAGGGATCTCACAAGTCAACTATCCAAGCGACTTTCACCAGTTCAGGATCCTCTGACTGAGGGTGAAATGAAGGGAAGGGCATGAACACAGCCCAAGTGCTGATGGCAAGTGGGCATCTAGCATATGAAGTCTTCCCTAGTCCTCATGGCAACCTCAGGAGAAAGGAACGACTTTCTTTTTTTACAGGTAAGTAAGGCAAGGCTCAAAGAGAACTGAGTGGCTGGAGCTCACCCAGCAGGTAAGTGGAGCAGCAGACCTGGGTTAGTGTCTCTGAGGCTCCAGGAACCCCATCCCAGGCTCCTTGGCTGAACTTGGTGGGGAGGTGGTGTGGGACTGGGGAGGGGCTTCCTCCCCACTGTACCTTAAAGAAGTGCTAGGAATGCAAGGGAGTAGAGGGTCTGGGCCTGGTAGACTGGTGGATTCTGGCAGGCCTAGGTCAGCTCCCATCCCAGAGGGTTCCCTGCCCCCTCCTTCCCTCCAGCCCAAACAGCAGCCCCTCATCACGTCGTGGGATCATACAACCTGTCCCTTGGTGCCTGGGCCTGGGGACTGGAAGAAAGATGGGGGCTGCAATAGCGGGGCCCCTCCCCCCCATCCTCCCATCCTCCTCCTAGCTTCCAGCAGTCCCAAGTAGCTGGTCTGGGCTCTAGGGACCTCCTGGGACCCTGGGCCCACACTTTCTCCTGGCTGAGAGGAATGAGTGTTCCTCGTTTTGCCGAGGAAGGCTGGGGCAGGGCTTCTCTCATACTGCGTGCCTTCAAGAGCAGAAGCCCTGGCAAGCCCCTTCCCCCGCCTCCCTCCCGCCCCTAGGAGGACCCACACCCTTACTCACCCTCGCGCACCCACACCGCCTTCCCCAGCGGGGGATCGCTTCCGGCGCCCTTCAGCAGGCCCAGGGAGTGGGCACAGTGGAACGGCCGTTGGTCGCTGCCCCTACCGGCGGACTGAGGAGCCGAGTCAAAGTCAGCAGGGCCCTGGGGTAGGGGTGGGGGTGGGGGTGGAGCAGAGCCTTTCCGACACGCGGGGGAGGAGGGGCGGCGGGCAAGGGGCGCTGCGAGGACCCGCGCCTCTGGGCGCTTCGGGCGGCTGCCGTCGGGCCTGGCGGGGTGGGCTGTGGCTCCGTCCTCCGGCCCCCAGGGGGCGGCGCGGCGCCGCGTCCTTTGCCGCCCTGCGTTCCCTGCCCCGCGGCCAGGAAGCGGCGCCCGCGGACGCCAGGCGGCGCGCTGTACTCGCCGTCGAGGCGGCGGTGCGGTACGTTCGAGGGCACGAGCTGCGCTGCTTCCCGGGCCTCGCGGATCCCGGCAGCGCACCCCGGGGGCGTGAGTGCGGCGGGCGGGTGATGGGAGTGGGGCTGCGCGAGTCGCGGCGAGGCCAGTGCCGGCTGGGCAGGACTGAGCGCGAGCAGGAGGCTGCGCCGTGCCCACGCCATCAGCCTCCCACCCGCATAGGCCTGCAAAGCATGGCGGTGAGTGCGCATCCCAGCGTGGGGGCCCACCCGGCGGAGGCCCACGTGAGCGCAGGCGGGCAGGGCCTGGACAGAAGGGAGACCTCTGCCGGTCTACCCCTCTCCTCAGGTCTGAACTGCGGCAGCATCTGTGCCCTCTGTGCGCGGACACCAAGACTGGCACCTTGTATGGCCTAGTGCGTTCTGCCTGCGTTACCTGCCGATTCCTACCCGACCATATTCTACCCATTTCCTGGAAGAGCTGAGGCCTCAGTTCACACCGAGGCCCCAGCCCCTCTCTCACTGGCCCTGAGAAGGCCCGGCCTTAAGGAGAGGGTGATGGAAGGGTCCCCAGAGGCTGGGGGTGAGTCCCCAGACACCCAGGGTCACGCCACCGACTGGAGGTTTGCTGTGTGCAGTTTCAGGGATGCCTGGGATGAGGAAGAACCTGCTTCGCAGATGCAGGTTAAAGACCCTAATCCCACAAGACCACCGGCAGGGGCAGCCCAGGGTGATGGGCTACAGTGCAGCCCCTTGCCTGGAGAGTTTCAGTCACCCCCAGGACAGATGGCTGCAGATGGGTCAGGGGATGGCCAGAGGAGCACATTAGGAGGTTCCTCGGTCAAGTCAGAGGAACCAGCCTTCTCTGAAGTTGAGAGCCTTCTATGCCCAATGTCCTCCCACCTCAGCCTGGCACAGGGCAAGAGTGCCAGCCAAGGGGGAGGGTTGGGAGGGGACCCAGTTCCAGGCGGGGTAATGCCAGCCAGCTTGGGTCCTGAGGGGTTGGAAAGTGACCCTGTGGACCTTGGAGACTCTTCATCTGAGACGTCATCAGAGCTGCTGGAGTCAGGTAAGGGAGACTGGGCAGGGAAGTCTTGGAAGGGAGTAGGAGGTGCCTGGAGGTGGGTGCCAAGACTTGGGGAGGGCTCTGACCCTACTCAGACTGAAGTCAAGGTCTCAGAAGGGGTCTTGGGGTAGGTGGCCCAATGCAGACCCAAGCCATTTCCCTTCCCAAGACCCCAGTGGATCCAGCCTCTCTAAGCCCACTGACTACCTCCTGGCCCAAGACCTCACCTGGGAGCTGCTGGCCAGTGGCATGGCAGCCCTACCAGGTAGTGGGAGAGACTAGTGGTGGTGGAGGTGGGGTGACTTGATTGGGCAGGTGTTCACTGCCCTCTCCCTACAGGGACTCGGGATGTAGAAGGTCGAGCAGTACTGCTTCTCTGTGCCCATAGCCCAGCCTGGCTTCACCCCAAGTGCAGCAGCCGTGAACTCATCCGCCTCCTGCTTTACCTGCGAAGCATCCCCAGGTTAGGGGGAGGAGATTGGGGGACGGACCTGAGCCAGGAGATGGCAGTGCCTGGGAATTAGATACTGAACCAAAGCCTGCCCCTTTAGACCTGAAGTACAGGCCCTGGGACTGACCGTGCTAGTGGATGCCCGAATTTGTCCCCCGAGCTCTTCCCTCTTCTGGGGGCTCAGCCAACTGCAAGTGAGTACAGGGTTGTAAGCCCCACTCCCCCATACCTTTTGTGTAGGGTTGGGGGGCAGGGCTGAACTCAGATTCCTTGCAGGAAGCAGCCCCAGGGTCAGTGCACCAGGTGCTCCTAGTGGGAAAGATGCCTGAGGAGGTGCCTTCAGGGCTGCAGGTACTGAGCCATATTGGCCAGGGGTGGAGGTATGGTGCTTCCCCTCCAGGCCTGGGTTACAACACCTTCTTTTCCTGCAGCTAGAGCAGCTGCCCTCTCATCAGAGCCTGCTGACCCACATCTCTACCTCGGGGTTGCCCACTTCACTGGGAGGAGGCCTGCCTTACTGTCACCAGGCCTGGCTGGACTTCCGGATGGTCAGTGCACTGGGTGGGGCATAGGGTGGGTGTGCAGGCAACCTGGCCAGCAGAGGAGCCTCTCCTGGGCTGGCTTGAGCAGCACAAAGCTGGCTGCGGTGGCCTGGAATCCAGGATGCCTGGGACCAGCACTGTGCACTGCTCTGGTCATACCTGACCCTACTCACAGCGTCTGGAAGCCCTACTGCAGAGCTGCCAGGTGGTTTGTACCCTGCTCCAGGGGGCCATTGAGAGCGTGAAGGCTGTGCCTCAGCCCATGAAGTCTGGGGTGAGTGTCCCCTTCCAACACCTCCCCCAATGCTCCCGTCTCCCTCCTTTTCTCCCATGGCCACCTCCAACGCCTGTTGCCCTTGATCACAGGAAGTCAGTCAATTGCTACGGCAGGCACGGGTCCTGATGCAGCATGTGCTAGACTCGCCACGGCTGGCATGGCTACAGTGCCAGGGGGGATTGGAGCTGGCATGGCTGAAGCAGGAGGTCCCAGAGGTGACCCTGAGCCCAGACTACAGGTAGGTGCAAGCCCAGCTTCCAGATCTTGCCCCAGCCCACCCTTTCCCATGCTAAGGATTTAGCTGGCTGGCTCAGAACCAGCCAGGATTATGGTCCCAGGACAGGGTGGAGTGGAGCAAGGCAACTGGCAGGGGCCCTAAGACCATGTACCCTGCACTAGGCCAGCGGTGGACGAGGTCGATGAGCTGTATGGGCGTGTGGACGGACTGCTGCACCAACTGACCCTGCAGAGTAACCGTCGAGTACAGGCACTGGAGTTGGTCCAGACGCTGGAGGCCCAGGAGGGCCGGCTGCACCAGGTGGGAACTATCTGCCCAGATGGGCCCTGCCCCTAATCTCAAGCATGACCCCTACCCTACAGCAGCTCTCCTTTTCCTGCTTATGCCCCTCCAGATTGAAGTGTGGCTACAGAAGGAGGGCTGGCCAGCACTTGAGAAGCCAAGGGAGCCCTCACTGGACATGCTGCTCCAGGCTCAAGGCCCCTTTCAGGAGCTGGACCTGGTTGCCCAGGTGAGTTTGGTCACTTGTTTATTCCGTAGGCACTGGGGCACTTTTCCAGGGACTAGAAATGCAGGGTGGGTGAAAGCAAATCTGTCTTTTGCTCTCTTGTAATTTATAATCCAGCAGAAAAGATCAGTTGTTGTCAAAAGTTCAAAGTAATATACGTGTGTTTGCAAACTGAGGCAAAAGCTCTGGCGAGAAGCAATGCAGGTGTTTCTACCTGAGTGTATAATAAAGACTTGACCCAGAAAGGGTGTTGGGCCAGCTTTCTTTTTTTTTTAAGTTGTTAAATTTTTGTTGTACATTATTGTTTGTCAGTCACCATATAAATGCATCCCTCCACCCCTTGTGCCCACCCCCGACTCCCCTTGCCCCTGGTAACCACCAAACAGTTCTGTCTGTGTGTTGGTTTATCTTCCACAAATGAGTGAAATCATGCAGTGTTTGTATTCCTCTTGCTGGTAGGCAAGCGTTCTTGAGATAGTGACTTTTGAGTTGAGAGCTGAAGGATAGGTTGGGGTTAACCAGGCAGATGAGGGTTGGGGATAAGAGACATTCCAGGCTGAGGCAGCAAACAGCATGTGCAAAGATCCTGTGGTAGGAAGGAGCATGACTTGCCTGAAGAACCATGAGAAGGACAGGTTGAAATGCAGAGCAGAAGAGGGAGAGTAGTGTGAGATGAGGTAAAAGAAGGCTGAAAATGTGGTCAGTGGCCAGATTGCTGGGCCCTGTAGCAGTGTAAAATTTAAGCAGGAAAGTCACGTAATCAGATCCGTGTTCTAGGAAGATTACCTTATTTTCTGGGTAGACAGTGACTTGGAGGATGGACGTGGAGAGTCCATTGAAGGGGCAATTGCAATGGTATGGGTGGGAGTGATGCTTGCTCTGACCAGGATGGTGGCAGAGGAGATGGATTTGAGAAATTGATGGGATTTGATGGTGGGTACATAAGAGAGGGGAGAGGGAAAGGGAGGTTGTAAGGATGAATGGGTGCTGTTCCCTGAGAGAGGGATCAGGAGACAAGGACTTTCTGGGGGAAGGGCTTTAATGAATCCAGTCTTGGGTGTGCTTTGGAGATGACTGTGAGGGAATGAGACAAAGACCCCTGGGGATTGGGTCTAGAGCTCAGAGGAGAGATCTGGCTGCAGAGGGTCACTTGGGAGATGTGGGTGTGTGGGTGACATTTGAAGTGTGGTCACACAAGACTGTCTGGGGAGAGAGAGTGGACTGTCTTCAGGAGACCCAGCATTTAATGGCCCAGGTGAGGAACAGGGAGCAAGAGGAGGAACCATCAGAGCAGGACCAGGAGAATCAGGAGAGTGGGGAGGGGGCAGGGGAGCCAGGGGAGAAAGGGTTGGATGTTGCTGAGCGGTAGTCAGAGGAGACCTGAGAAGTGCAGGGGATGGAGGCAGAAGTGGGTTTGGAGTGGGCTGAGAAGTTGAAGAAGCAGTGATAGAGAGGACAGAGAGTTCCTCCAGGAAGTTTAGCTGTGGAGAGGGGTACAGAGAGAAGGGAGAATGGGTGGGAGTGGAGGGAAGGTCTTCAATCACAGGAGAGATTTGATGACATTTAGATGTGGGTGGAAAAGACCTGGGCATGGAGGCTTGACCACCAGGCTTAGGGCCAGCTGAGCCCAATCTCTGTCTCCAGGAGCAGGTCAGGCGAGGTGAGAAGTTTCTGCAGCCACTGGCTGGCTGGGAGGCAGCTGAACTGGGCCCCCCTGGGGCCCGCTTTCTGGCCTTGCAAGCCCAGCTGACTGAATTTTCTAGGGCTTTGGCCCAGCGGCGGCAGCAGCTGGCAGATGCTGAGAAGCTGTTGCAGTTCTTCAAGCAGGTTGGTGAGGGGTCCCGTCCCTGACTCCAGGTGGTCAGTGGGACCAGAGGATGGCTTCCCAGCTCCACCACAGCCTGAGCTCTTCCTGGACCTCCTGCCTCTTCTCCCTCCTTGTCTTCAGTCTGACCCCGAAATCTAACCACTGGGGATGTGGCCTGGGGCCAGCATCCTGTGGGGATGGGGAGTGGGTAGAGGAGAAGGCTCAGCGGTCTCTGTGGGATTCTCTTTCAATGTCTGTGTGGCCTTGGTGTTGCAGGCTTCAACATGGGCTGAGGAGGGGCAGCGGGTATTGGCAGAGCTGGAGCAGGAGCGCCCAGGGGTCGTGCTGCAACGGCTGCAGTTGCATTGGACCAAGCACCCTGACTTGCCTCCTGCCCACTTCCGAAAGATGTGGGCTCTGGCCACAGGGCTGGGCTCCGAAGGCATCCGCCAGGAGTGCCGCTGGGCCTGGGCGCGGTGCCAGGACACCTGGCTGGCCCTGGACCAGAAGCTAGAGGCTGCCCTGAAGCCACCACCAACAGGCAGCACAGCTAGCCTGTGTGTCAGTCGGGTCCCTGCTGCACCTGCCACCCCTCCCCTGAGGAAAGCATACAGCCTTGATCGGAATCTGGGGCAGAGTCTCCGAGAGACTGCCCACCAGTGCCACCATGGGGCCATTGTGGCTGCCTGCCATGGACCAGAGGCCGGAGGTGGTGCCCAGCCAGGGTCATCCCTTACCATGCCTCCATCAGGCAGCTCTGACCCCAGGAGCCCCAACAGGTGCAGGCAGTGGGCAGGGCTGGGAGGGCAGGGCAGGGCAGATGTCTTGGGTCCTGACCTCACCCACCTGGTAGGCTCCAGCTGGTGCTGGCGGAGATGGTGGCTACAGAGCGGGAGTATGTCCGTGCCCTTGACTACACCATAGAGAACTACTTCCCTGAGCTGGATCGCCCTGATGTGCCCCAGGGCCTCCGTGGCCAGCGTGCTCACCTCTTTGGCAACCTGGAGAAGCTGCGGGACTTCCACTGCCATTTCTTCCTGCGTGAGCTGGAGGCCTGCACGCGGCACCCACCCCGGGTGGCCTATGCCTTCCTGCGTCACGTAAGCCCCCCAGGCCACATGGCCCCCAGCTCAACAAGTGTGAGTTCTGCCACACTCAACAAAGAGCTACTTTGCACATGCTTGGTGCCAGGTCCTGTGCTTGGTACAGCTATAAGTGAGACCCACAAGGTCCCTGCCCTTCAGGGCGCTCATAGTTTAGTAGAGGAGACATAAAAGTGAAAAAGGTAACTCCAGATTATAGTTGGGGCTAGGAGAAAAATAATCAGGATAGAAAGATAATTGTGAGTTAGCCACAGGGCAGGGGTACCCCCTTTAGCAAAAGCAGTTAGAGAGGCCTTTTAGAGGAGCTGACGTTTGAGCTGAGGCCAGAGGGAGGAGCTAGAGTCAGAGTGTTCCATCCAGATCAAGTGCAAAGCCCTGGGCCAGGAAAGAGGCCCAGTGGTCAAGGAAGAGTAAGGTCAACGTGGCTGAGTGTAGTGAGCAAGAGGGGTAGTTCGAGGTGAGGTGAGACTAGAGTGGTGTTCATAGAGCTGTGGGAAGAGCAGAGCTGGATGCAGGACTTCATCCCCAGAGGGCCTATGGAGCAGTACCCCTCTGTACAGTCTCTGTTCTTGCCAGATCACCCCTCATTCAAAGCAGGGTAGATTGGCTCTGTGGGGGAGGCCTCCCTGGGAGCTTTCTGTTGGCATTTTGGTCTTCTCAAGCTGAGAGTGTCTGGCCTGAGTCGTGGCAGACTTGGGAGCTCGGCCCCTTTCACCTAGGCTGAGCCATGTGTCCTTGCAGAGGGTGCAGTTTGGGATGTATGCCCTCTATAGCAAGAATAAACCTCGCTCTGATGCCTTGATGACCAGCTATGGTCACATCTTCTTCAAGGTAGGCGAGCCTGAGACTGTAGCGGGAGGAGGGGATGGAGGGAGTACCTTGAAGCCGCCTGATGGTCTCCTATCTACCTGGCAGGACAAGCAGCAAGCACTGGGGGACCAACTGGACTTGGCCTCCTACCTTCTGAAGCCCATCCAGCGCATGAGCAAGTATGCACTGCTGCTGCAGGAGCTGGCACGGGCCTGTGGGGGGCCCACGCAGGAGCAGAGTGCCTTGCGGGCCGCCCAGAGCCTTGTGCGCTTCCAGCTGCGACATGGCAATGACCTGCTAGCCATGGACGCCATCCAGGGCTGTGACGTAAGTCATCTCAGGCTGTGGTGGGCTGGTGCAACGGGTGTGAAGACAGGGGCCAGAAGAGGCTAGGCACCCACCGGGCCCCAACTTGGCAGGTTAACCTCAAGGAACAGGGGCAGCTGGTGCGACAGGATGAGTTCACAGTGCGCACTGGGCGCCACAAGTCCTTGCGCCGTATCTTCCTCTTTGAAGAGCTGCTGCTCTTCAGCAAGCCTCGCCGAGGACCCACAGGCGTCGACACATTTGCCTACAAGCGCTCCTTCAAGGTAGGCCCACCTGACCCTGCCCTGTGCATCCTGCTCGCCCAGTGCCTCACCAAGCCCTTCTCTCGGCCACACAGATGGCAGACCTTGGCCTCACTGAATGCTGTGGGGATAGCAACCTGCGCTTTGAGATCTGGTTCCGCCGTCGCAAGGCCAGGGACACCTTTGTGCTGCAAGCTGCCAGCTTGGCCACCAAGCAGGCTTGGACAGCTGACATCTCTCGCCTGCTCTGGAGGCAGGCCGTCCACAACAAGGGTGGGTCCCTGCGCCCTACTTCAACCCACACTCCTCTCTGTGGAGAGCTTACATTGTCCCACAGGGGCCCAGAGAGGGCCTAGAGACCTGGAAATGCTTGGGAGTAGGGAGAAGGATCAGCAGCAGCCAGTGCAGGGGAAAGAACTTCAAAGTCAGGCAGTCCTCCTGTCACTGTTTCTGACTATGGACACAGTATTAACCTCTCTGCGTATCAGAGGGCTCATCTTCAAAAGAGGAATTAGGACAACTGCCCACGGGATTGTTGGGAGGAGAGAGCCTGGCACCAGAAAGGCTCAGTGCACAGACACTTAATCTGCTGGGTGTGGGTGTACAGGAAAGACTTATTTAAGCAGGAGGGGTAGACAGAGGCCCAAGGGCCAAGCTGATTTCCAGAGGGGCCCGACCTATGCCCACTCTCCACTCAGAGGTGCGCATGGCTGAGATGGTGTCCATGGGTGTGGGGAGCAAGGCCTTCCGGGACATCGCCCCCAGCGAGGAAGCTATCAACGACCGCACCATCAACTACTTCCTGAAGTGCCGAGGTAGCAGGCAGGCTATAGGGGTCGGGGGTGAGGAGAGCTGCTGGAGGCAACATGGACCTCTGTCAGCCCTGGCCTGTGCTCCCCTTGGGACCTTGGCCCAGGTGGGCTCTGGCCTGTCTCAACCTGACCCTCTCTCTTATGCAGTTCGCTCTCGGGCCTCCATTGCTGTGGCCCCATTTGACTATGACAGCCCCTACCTGGGGGCCTCGAGCTCCCTTCCTGGAGACCCTGCCTCTTGCTCTGTACTGGGGTCCCTCAACCTGCACCTGTACAGAGACCCAGCTCTTCTGGGCCTCCGCTGGCCCCTGTATTCCACCAGCTTCCCAGAGGAAGCAGCACTGGAGGCTGAAGTGGAGCTGAGCAGCCAGCCGTCTTTGAGTAGGTCTGGGCTTAGCCAGAGGCAGGAGGGCATGGCTTGGGGTCTGTTCCTGCCCTGCTGACAGCTCACCCAGTTTCCTTCCATAGCTCCTGAGGACTCAGAGGTCTCATCCCAGTGCCTGTCAGCCAGTGGCTCCAGTGGCTCTGACAGCAGCTGTGTGTCAGGGCAGGCCCTGGGCAGGGGCCTGGAGGACTTGTCCTATGTGAGTGCCATTTTGCCCTATACCCACCAGGCCCTCCCTAGCCCAGCCCAGGCCTGTGGCTGCCTTTCCTTTAGGTGGGGGCATTGGGCCAGAGCCATTCCCCAGAGACCCCACCTGGACCCTGAGCCAGGGAAATAGGCATTCATGCCTAACTTGGCACCACAGGTCTGAGCCTGGGCTTGAAGGTGGACAGTGGACCCGGCAGTCTGTAGATCCAAGGAACATCACCTCCTCTCAGGATCTGCTGTGACCAGGGCATGGCTGGCACTTGGTCCATCTCCAGCCCACGTGAACAGCCCTATTGACTGCCCTTTCTGAGGTCTGTGCCCATTGGCAGACCAGCAGGGGTCTCTCCAGGGGAGTCTGGCTGCAGAGCCTTCAGACTCTCATTTATGAGCTCATTCATGAGCACCCTGATCCTGGGCTCCTGGCCCTGTATCCATCCCCTTCTTTTGTCCCCCTTTCCAGCTCCCATCCCAGTTGTGGATTAGGATTAGGCTAAGCAGAGGGTGGGTGTTTGTTTCCATGCTCTAGGCTGGTGGAGCACCAAGTGGCTCTGGCAGTGACTGGGCTGCCCCCCACCCTCAGGAGGAACACAGGTGGCTTCCCAGCAGCTGCTTCCCACCCCTAGATCTCAAAGCCACATTCCCCAAACTTAGGGGCAGGCCCATCCCTATTGGACCCTTACTCTTGCTTGCTGTAGCTCCCCAGGCCCAGCCCCTTCTTTCCTGGGTCAGTTTGGTTATATTTACTCAATGCTTTTTGAATAGCTTTTAATTACAGTTGTTGTCTAAAATTACTTCACTGGTTGTTAGGTCTTTGGTGTCTCAGAGAGGGAGTCCAGGCCCTTGGCTCATGATTTACACTTTCTTTGTTTATAATAAAAAATAGACTGATGCGCATCCTTGAATAGCACATGCATTCTGGGGATATCCCCAGTTAAAATGAGCCTTGGCTGTTGTGGGTATGTGGGGGCAGCGTCGCTGGGCACCCTAGCCCTCTTGTAAGTACTTGCCCAGGATAGAATAAGAGACAGACGTAGACAGGCCTCTCTGGATGAGCAGGTCCACGCAGCGGCCATATTTCCTGGCAAAAGGCAGTGTGAGCTGGAAGGAAAGGCTGGTCTTATTTCTGATTTGCTGGCCAGTTCCCCACTCTGGCTGTGTGTGGGCAAGGTCCTCCCATCTGGGTGGGCACAGGGGAAGGGCAAGGCCAGCTGTTGGGAACCTGATGCTCTTGGGCTCAGTTCTGCCCAAAGGCATCTCACAGGGCTATGGCTAGGGGTGGCTACCAGAGAACAAAGAGAATAACCAGAGGGTCAAAAATGTATGTTTCCTGCCACTGGTTTTCCACCGTTTAGCCATAGATGCTGACTTCACCTTTCCAATCAATAAACTAGCCAGAGGCCTAATAGTAGTGTGTTTATGGTGGAAGGTGTTATAATAATGCCCTTGATTACAGAAATACAAGATTAATGAGAAATTAGCTAAATCTTTTTCACCTACAATGTTAAAATAAAAACCTTGGAACCCTAAAATTATTTTAAGGAATCAAGAAACAAAAAACCGGGGCAGGCCCTGTGGCATAGTGGTTAAGTTTGGCATGTTCCACTTCGGCAGCCTGGGTTCACAGGTTCGGATCCCGGTCACAGACCTACATCACTCATCAACTACTCTGTGGTGGTGACCCACACATAAAGTAGAGGAAGATGGGCACAAATTTTAGCTTAGGGCTCATCTTCCTCAGCAAAAAAAAAGAGAGAAACAAAAAACCTGGGTCATTCTTTTGCCTTTATTGGACATTTTCTTTTTCTTTGTAAAGAATGTTTTAAAGCAGCTTAAATATGAAATGAATGTACAAAAGTGGTGACATCATGGCTAAGCAGGTGAAGTTGGTATCAGCTGTTATAAAGGTTTGGCTGCCAATAGTTTGTCTGATTTCAGCACCCCAAAAGCTTGGGTTCATAGGATGTGCTTCCCCGAGTGTGGCCAGGGTTGTCAGTGGTGAATGCAAAATTGCTATCATTGAGGAAAATTACAAAAACCAGTAGCCTGAATACTGTTTTTTGACCACTCTGGACTGGTTAATTTCAGCTATCGTTTCTCCCTCCCCCGGACCAGGGACTAGAGGTCTAGCTGCCTGCCTCCCCTTCTGGGCAGCACTGGCCTGGCCCTCGTGCAGGTGCAGCAAGACATTGTCCATCTGAGGCATCCATAGGGTCACCATTCCCAGTGGAGTGCAAGTGGCCCTCACCTCCACCCAGCTGTACAGGTGTTCCTGGGTGTGCCGGTCATCCTTGAAGCCAGTGATGGCCAGCAAATCCACCACAAACTGCTTGGGGCTGATGTGCAGGGTCTGCCAGAAGAGCCCACAGTCAGGCAGGGCTGGGGGCAGCTGCCTGACACACATTTGCTCTGAACCCCTCAGAGTGGGATGCAGAGCAGGGGCTTCCCTGAGCCCGCAGGAGCCGCAGACGTCGGGGGGCATTGTCACTCCAAACTGCCTCTTGGCCGAGGTTCGGTCCAGATGATGGTGCCCTGTCTTCCTGTCCCTGCCCTTCTTGGCACCCTTCTGCCCCTGACCTATTTCCCTTATCCCCCCTCTTGGCTTGGTTCCTCTTGCCTTGCACCACTTATTGTGGAGGCAAGGGGACAGGTGGAGAAGGAACAGGGCCTGGAGCCTCTCACACATACCCAGAGCTGGTTGGCCAGGGAGACCACCTTGGCTGTGATGGCTTTGGGGTCCTTTTGCCTGATGGAATCCAGGATGATGTCTGTCAGGAAGCGGTGACATTTCTGTGCATAAAACATCTCTTCCCAGGACAGAGAGAAACTCAGGAAAGTCACCTCTGTGGAGGAGAGAGTGGATGTGGCCACTTCTGCCTGCAGCTGGGGCCTTAGAGCCAGTCTGGAGTAAGGAGAGAGGTGTAGGGCTCCCAAGGGAGACTGTCTCCCTGAGGTACCCTGGGCACTTCACAAGGAAGTGCAGGGCTAGTCATGGCTCCAGAGCCTTACCTCGGGGCTGGGGGCTGGCTGTGGGCAGCGTGTGCCTGAGGTTGTCCATCTGTGTGGTGTAGATGACGCTGTCCTCAAAGAACATGCAGGAGCCATCACTGCCCACCACGGGAGGGTGGGTCACTTTGAGGATGACCCCTGCGCTGTCCACCTCACTGGCCTCAGGCAGAGGCTGCTCAGGGGCAGGGCTTTCTGTGAAAATAATGTGAGGAGGGGGGCTCTCCTTAAACCACCTCAGAGCCCAAGTAGGGAGGGGGACCTCTGGTGACAGACCACTACAGTCAGTCACCCCAACCTTCCAGCACCTGCTGCCTCTAGCTTCTCGGAATTGGCACCCTGGGCTGGCAGGGGCCTGTCCTGGCTTTCATCTCTTTATTGCTGTGGAATCATTGCAAGCCAAATCCTAAATTTCAGAACTCCAAGGAACTTCTCAAATTCCAGTGTCGAACTAAGAGTGGTATCAAATAGGACTGATAATAACCCAGCTTGGGACTGGAAATCTTTGTAAAATTATAAAATGAGAGGAGGTTTTTGGGTGAGACTTGGATGCATGTCCACTCTGAAGAGTACGCTTGACAGACAAACTTGGGGCTCACAGGAAGGGCCTAAGAAGGCCCCTCCAAGCAAGGCCTGAGGCCACTAAAAGGGAAGACAACAATACTGTAGGAAGGACACTTCCCTGGGCCATCTCCACATTCTCCCCACCACACACAACACACCTCGCTTCAGCCCATTCCCCACAAACCTCCTGTCTCCTGGACTTCTCCACCTGGATGTCTCTCAGCACTTTATACACAATGTGTCCTTTTCCCCAAGTCCTAGTCCTTCGCTTGTCATCCCACCTCAGTAACTGTCCACCCCTCTTGCAGTCACTCAAGCCAGAAACGTGGCCCCTCCTTGGCCCGATCCTTCTCCCCTTCCTCCCCCAACTGCCTGGCCTGTTTCACCTAGAATGATCTCACCACTTTTAACACTTCCCCTCCTACTGTTGCATTTCCTTTGCTCCTGGAGCAAGCTTTCTAAATGCACACCTGACTGCTTGCTCCCTTGTTTAAAATGCCTCAGTGGCTGCCCACTCCCCTTAGGATCAGAACAAAGTGCCAGGTTCTGAATTTGGCTCACAAGACCTGTCCTGATTACTTATGTCTTCAGCCTTATTTCCCATCACTTCTCCAGGGAAGCCTGGCCTCCAGCTAGACCAATGACCTGTGTTTCCACGAGTACTCGAGCCTTCTCCTTCCTTCCTCTGCTGACTCCAGCCCCCAGCCTCCTTTGTGCTCCTCTCACTTCATAGGCACCCCCTTCCCATTGTGCTCATCACTTTGCCTCATGTGGTCTCTTGGCCCCTCAAGCCTTGCCAGTGTCAGTCATTTCTGTGTCTGCTGCTTGGCACAGAGCTTGCACCAGTGACTGCAGGGTTCTAGTCCCCCATTGTCACTAACTCACTCTGGTCTTGGCCAAGGTTTGCCCTCTCTGTTGTAAATGAGACTTAGGTCAAGGATGAGACAAGACTCACCTCTCTCCTTTGGCCTCTGCTTGCCCCAGTCCTTCAGGGTAACAGCTCTTTTTACGGAGAAGTATGGCGTAAAGGTTGGCTCTGGCCCCTTGTCTTTGGCTCCACCTCCAGCTCCTGCCTGTGGACCTGGGTCCTTCTCTGAGGCTGTGGAATGGCCTTTCCAGGAAGCTGAGGTGCTGGGCTGGGAGGCAGCCTCACTTCTCGAGGGGAGCTGCAGGGCAGCTTCCTCCAAGGAGCTGCTCCGGGGGGCTGGCAGTGGCTGGAATTCCCACTGTTTGCTATTGACCATGTCCCATTCCCTCACAAGGGAGATGAGTTTTTGCATGGGGGTGACAGGAGGGTCTTTGGTTTCAGATTTCTGTGTAAGGTTGACTGTGGTACACTTCTTTTTAGGAGGACTCTCAGGGTGAGCCCCCCAGTGTCTGGGGTTGGCACAGAGGCCAGAACAGTGTGAGTATGTGCTGGGGTTGCCCGCCCTCTTGGCACCTTGGCACAGGGACACCTGGATGGTCCGGGAGTACTCCTCAGCCTCCTCCATCTGGCTGGACCTGGCCAGGGTCCCCTTGGCCTTGTTCCATGGAGTCCTGTCACTGCAGTCTTGGAAGTCCACAGGCATGCAAGCTGTGGTCTGGGGAGGGGGGGCACAGTAGCTCTGGGCATTTTGTGCTTCCACATTCAAGCTTCCCCCCAAGATTTAATAAGCTGGGCCTCTGGGACTTCACTTGCTCACCCAGAACAATCCCACCCCCTACATGGGTCAGCCATTTGAACTTTGCTCAGTCTGAGTAGGGGTGGTGCCAGCCCAGGGGCCTCTCACACTCCAAAAGGACATATTATCAGCATCCCAGACCACAAGCAGCCAACAATTCCCTGTGTCTCTTTCAAGGTTCAGAAACGAGTTATTGTGCCAGGAGCCCATGTAGGCCCTGCTCTTTCATTTTGCCATGCCCCTCAGTAGTGGGGTCTTCTCCCTGAGCCCCGTAGTGGTGCTCTTTGAGGACAAAACCAAACCACAGAAGGCTGAGACTTACTTCTTTGGCATCTCTACTGAATTCCACCAGCAACCCTGGCCCTTCTGTCACCATGTGCAGCCTCCTGATGGGAAAAGCTTCTTCATTTTCAGATTCTTTCTCCTGGCTCCATGACCTGCAGACTCCAAGAGGGGTTGGTTAGTGAGCAGGAGCTTCCACTAGCCCATCAACCAGTTGGT